ACATTCTTTTCTGTTAGGGCTTTAATTTGTCTGATACATCATTACCACATATGGATATCTGAAGATATTTAGGAAGAAACAATCACAATTACTGAAAAGGAATTAAAAAAAAATTGCATAGCTCCTGTAAGTTTTTCTCCTTTTGGGGAAAGGGTAGTGCTTACGTATTTAGCGTAGCCTATAATGCTATCAATGTTTTTCGTAATAAACCAGAAATTTTTAGGATTTGATCTAGTACTTGACAATATCAAATACAAAACTCCCCACATGTACTTAAATACAGGAACCTCTCTGAGAGGCACTCAACTGTTCCAGGAATTGCGTGACCCTCTGTAACATTGTGGCTTTCTGTAAACGGTGGGATAAAAGACCTGGTTAGGGAAGAAATCTCTGTCTTTGCGGATCTGTACAGCACTACGTTTTAGAAGGTGTTAATAGTGCCCTACCCTTTGGCATACACGGCATAAACCTTCCACGACAGGAACTGTAGAGCACCTTTTTACTGAACTGTGAGATACCTTTACCCTTCTGTAAAAACTTCAAATATACTCCAAACCAGGCATAATCACTGGATTGAAAGTAAAAGAGATGATACAGTACGGTAGTTCTTTATATTCACTTCCATAATGGTCAAAATGCATTTCAATTTTGGTATTTTTTTTTAATCTTATTGTACCTTTATGCAATGGTAGGCACATGCAAAATGTTTTTGCTAAAGTCATTATCAGTGAAATAATCAGTGAAGCTGATATTTGTATTTGCATAATTAAAGAGAATTCTCAATTGAGAAAGTTTAAAACATGTTTTTTTCAATTCCTGGTAATTGATTATCCTCATATTTCACTTTAAAGTTTTATTTCAAGTTATGGATAGAAACTTAGGTGACATTTATTTTTATTTTAAAAAAAGTTTTAGTAGTTCATTTGATGTTAGAAGAGATGACTACAGAACTCACAACCTTGCTTATTATTTTTCATTTTTAGTTTCAAATGAGATCATAGAAACGTTTCTCCTTCAGTGGGACTTCCATTTATATGATATTGACTGTCTTATACTCTTACATATGGCCATAAATTGTGTAAAAATGAAAGCCAAACTCTGATGTATGTCAAAAGCCACCAATGTTTTAAAATTCCCATTGAATCTGTATCGCTTGATTCTATGGGCTATTACTGTGTGCAGACTTGTATTAAAAAGTGGTACTAGCCATCAAAAACATTAGCAAAACTGAATTTAATCACTGTTAGCTTTATAGATTAGAAAGTACGTTAAACTGTTGTGAACTTAATGCTTTTATATTTTGTTCTTCTAAAAACTTGTCTTTAATTTTTACAGAACTCTGTGTGACTCCAATTTCAAAAGGAGGATTTGAAAAAGAGAAATCTGGATCATCTTCACTGACCAAATTAAGGATGCTAAAGAGTAATCTGTTTCATCGAAGTATGACTTTTGATATTTATATCCAAATGTCTTAGTTAATGCATGAAGAGTGTATTTTTGTTTCTTTAATTTGTCTGCAAGGCGAAGGTTTAAAGAAACAAAATATTTTGATGGAAAATGTACATCTTAATTTCTTCTGTATTGAAATGACTGTAAAGTTATTAAAATTTATATTTGAGAATCTGATCTTTCACAAATAAATTTATGATATTGGTGTCAGTAAAACTCTGAAGATCTTAAAATAAAAATTTGTGGCTGATGATAAACTGGTATGAGGTAATTATACAACTAACTTCAGTTAACATTAAACCTATTTCATAAGCTTGCCATTTACAGCTAGTGTTATGCAATACGAGTTGTAATCTATAAATTATATTTCAGGGTGAACTCTCTATATCAAACAATATTAATTTAAATACCTGAATGTACTTTTTAGGCTATATGTTCACTTGGAGGGACATGGGCAAGCTACCATCATAGTTCTCTTTTTTCCTCATTCTGATATGAAAACAACATCCAACAAAACTGAATATCATTGTATGTAGCTATGTTTTCTTCAGAACAACATCCTACACTTTTAACACTTCTTGGTCTAAGTATTCTGGAAACCTGGAAATCTGAGTGCAAAGATAAATGTCGAGCAGCAAACACATCCTTCTAAAGGCTGCTCTGCAGAGGTGTTCTTGCTCCGTTCTTGATCCATTCTTAATCAAAGGGCTTTTATGGACCAAGCTTTCAGTGCTGCTCCAGTCCCCACTACGGGAATAAATGTTCAGTGAGTATGATAAATCTCAGTAGCCGTAGCTGCCTTAAAAGTTTGTCATTCAATCTAAACTACTTAGTCCCTGCAGAGAGACAAAAAAGGTAGGTAGTTCCAAAAGCGATTTCTTTCTGCAGTGTTTGAATACTCAGAAATCTGATAGGAGATCAACATGGAGTCCTCCAAATTTTCTAAACTTTCTACGTGCTGATGGGTTTTTTGTAAATACTAGGGGAAAAAAAAGAAAAGAAAAGAAAACTAGAAAAGCAATAACAATGGTCGTACAGGAAAGCAGCTGTGATTTGATTTTTTGCATCAATTTTTCAAAAGCTTGCCTCATGCCTATCTTTTAGGTGCATTTCTAAATATATTCTATGGGTCATATTCAAAAAAGTCTGGCTCTTGTCAGTGTCTTTTGTGAAATTAAAGAAAAATTTTCCTCACATAGGGTTTTTGATGGGAAGTAATCTACAATATGTGACATGTTTTGAATGGTTTCATGAATCAGTTGTTATTTCCATAATCAGAGTGACAGTTTTGTAAACAGTCCATAATGTAATGACAAATCATCGCTTCTCTTTTTTTTGCGCGTTCTTTTTCAGATAAGAGAGTAGTGGATACCGTTGCTAACTCTGATGCTTACTTGGAGGACCTTTTTACAGATTATTATGAAAAAGCTGCAAGCATGACTGATGTCTCTACAAGCTATCTCAGAGAAGGGTCTCACATCCGAATTAACTTACTTAATAACAACATCCGCAAAGGTCCCTGTGTCCTTTGTGGAATGGGAAGTTCTAAAAGAGAGACAGTCTATGGATGCCTGGAGTGTTCTTTTAATGGACAAAAGTACGTACGACTGCACGCTGTGCCCTGTTTCGATCTCTGGCATAAGAGAGTAAAGTAACTGAGCTAGGTAAGTGCCTGTTGTCACAGACATGGGCATAACTGTGCCATAAACTTTTCAGAATTAGTAAACATGACTCAAATTGTTGAAATATAAAACAGTGAAAGAACAAAATGTTTTATTACGCTATTATCTTCAAATTATTTGCTTCAGTCAATGACCTTTTACTTGAAAATGCTCTCATGCAGTCCCTTACATTGCTTTTCTTCATTTAAGAACCTTCTCCTTTCATTATGATGATAATGAAAAACAATGTACTTTTAAACTGGATTTTCATAATGTCAAAATATATGCTAGAACTTACTTTAAGTTGTTTACACAAACTTGTTATTAAACCCCAAAATGTTACCTTTACCTACACCAGCATATGATGGTAAAACGAGAATATATGTTAATAATTTAGTGTTCTCATGCATATTTAATTGAAGTATCAGATTAAAAAACATGCTAAAATTTAGCTCAGTCTCATGTTTCATTTACAAAAGGGAACAACTAAAACTAGGAATACATAACTCATATTAGGATGCCATTAGCATTTGGCAACTGTTTATATTATTAAAAAGTATCAGCCAGTCTACCTTTTGCATTTGGATTTTACATCACAGCTGCTCTTGACTTGCTTTTATGGTTCAGAAAAAAAACTACTTAGCAGAAAATGTTTTAGAAGCTTACGAAAATAACAGAACTATATCCTTTCAACAGGACTTCAGAGGTGAAGGTCTTTAACGGGTAGATCTCAACCACAGAAAATTAAGTCTCTTGAGAGTATAAACACCAGAGGGCACTGCTGAACTGTGTCCAATAGCGAGAGCGCCGTCAGTATGCTATTGAAGCTCTCCTCATGCTACCTTAAATTGGGAAAACAATTAAAAAATGTTTTTGTACCTCTTAGAATGATTTTAAAATAAATAACCCAGGTAGGGAAGCTTTTTCTCTTCTCTTGCTTTCACTTTCACTGTGTACCTCTATTTATTTCAACATGTAATGATCAGAGCCCTTGCTTTTCACATGAGAAAAGTAGGTTACACAGGTATTATGATGACATCTGCATAAGCAGAACCCTTAATGAGCCTGAAGTACTATTAACTATTGCTACTTCTTTGCATTTTTCCAACGTGAGGGAAAGCAGAATGATGCTCAAACAATTACTTATGTTTATATAGAGTATCTCCCATCATCTTCCACCTCATCCAAGTAAATCACAGTAGGGTAGATTTTTAACTTGGTGCTGTTGAATAAACTGACTAACTTGGCAATTTTACTCAGGCTAAGTTTAAAAATCCACTTAAAATACTGGTTTTTCATGAACACCAAATTATTCATGTTAATATTGCACCAAAGAGGTTATTTTAAGTTGCTTTAAAAACATTTGTGGTTTTATCCAGACATTCCATAGCCAGTGTTCATTTATTTTAAGGCCTTTTATAGTTAAATTTGCTGCAAGCACCAATTTGTCAAGAAGCCAGCCTACAAGCCTGAAGAGATTTAACAGAATTACCTTCCTGGGATTCTGTTTTCTCCTTTTATTTTATGAGGGACTGAGAAGTTACATTCTAACTATGTCAGTGGGTACTGGAACCATTTTTGTGTGCTTGATAGGACAGTAATAATTATTTTCATCAGAAACTTACACAATCAGAAAGACTACTGAGCAATACTTAAATTAGGACATGATGCAGGAACCACTAATAATAGATCACAGTGTTTTCCAATTTTATTTATTTCTTTTGAAATATGTACCACATTTTATTAGTTGAAAGTTAAAAATAAGATTTTTACAGTCACTTTAAGAGATATAAAAAAATGCCACTATAAAAAAAAAGTAAAAAATTATGTGACAAAGTATTATTATTTAAAATTCAGTGTCCAGAAAATAGCCAAAGATTTTTTAAGTACTTAGAGTTCATCATGCTGGTAGACATTGTACTCCTTTGCTGATATGAAACCATCTCCGTCATGATCGTTCTTCTTAAATATATCAGCTAAGATTTCATCATGGACCGAGGGATGACGTTTTTTGCCATCTCTTGCAAATTCTTCTTTCAAATACTGGCTTATCTAGAAGAAAAGTAAAGAGTCCAACCATTGTGGCTTTTATGCCAGTACTCAACAGCCATTTTCAAGGACAGTTGGGGTATGTAAGTAAGTTATTGTGACTCCAGTGCAGACACATCTAAAGTTTGTTTCCCAGCAAGACTCAGACATACTAACGTATTAATCAAAGCAAACTTCAACATTGCACATTGTAGTTTGTGAAAGCATACAGAAGCTTTACATGATGAATGGGAGCATAGACAGCTCATGTAAAGATAACACTGATAGCTATACCTATACTTTTATAAATCATAGAATTGTTTAGGTTGGAAAAGACCCTTAAGATCATCAAATCCAACCATAAACCTAACACTACCAAGTCCACCACTAAGCCATGTCCCTAAGTGCCACATCTACAGGTCTTTTACATTCAGGGATGGTGACTCAAACACCTTCCCTGGGCATCCTGTTCCAACGTTTGACAACCCTCCTGGCAAAGAAATTTTTCCTAACGTCCAACCTAAGCCTCCCCTGGCACAATTCGAGGTTGCTTCCTCTTGTCCTATCACTATTACTAGGGAAAAGAGACCAACATCGACCTTGCTACAATCTCCTTTCAGGTTGCTGTATAGAGCAATAAGGTCTCCCCTCAGCTCCCATCTCCAGAGTAAACCACCCCAGTTTCCTCAGCTGCTCCTTATAAGACTTGTGCTATAGACCCTTCACCAGCTACATAGCCGTTCTTTGGACATGCTCCAGCACCTCAATGTCTTTCTTGTAGTGAGAAATAATTTATTCCAAATTAGTTACATCATATTACCTCAAGTTCAGAGAGTTTCTTGTCGTTGTCCTTGTCTATTTGATTAAATGCTTCAACACTGCGAGGTCCCTTATTTACTGCATAAAGTTCAATCTCAAAGATCAATGTTGCATTGGGTGGAATCTTGCCCTGTGCTATGAATAAAAGAAAAAAAAGCATTTAAGAAATCAGACACTATGGTCAGAGATCACACATATAATAAATTCACAGGTAAAGTGTCTTTTTTTTTTTTAACAAAAGATTGTGTTAATATTTAGATTAAACTCCGAATTTAAATATTATACAGCTAGACAGGAAGATTGTTCAGATTATGTTAGATAAATGATTTTGAGAGAGATATGCAAATGATATACTTCCCTGAAACACAATTATATTGCTCATATCAATTCAAGTACTTTTAAAAATTAAGAGAAGGGTTTGTGTTAACATGAAAAGCAAGTATTTCCAAAGTTCTCACTTTTTCACATAATGTCATATGATGTGGCTTATTGAGAGACTGATTCTAAGATGTATGTCTTTATTTAATATCTGCAACCTGATTGAAAAGCTTACTGTAATAGACCAATGCTCGTATATATTTTCTGTCAGAAAAAACAAGAAGGCAGTATCAGGTTTTACCAACTTAATATGAATTATACCTATGGTTAAAGGACTTTATGTAAAAGTTTTTAAAATACACCTCTCATTAGAAAGAAGCAGTAGAATGTAAGTCATCTGATTCACAAAAAAAAAAAAAAGACAAAACCAAAACCCCTCCCAAAAAACCAAACCTACTGGAGTATTTTGTCCGGTCCCTGAAGAAAAAAAAAAACATGTTAGACTTCATTATTCCTTTGTCAAAGCATCTTCTGATATACGAGGCAAAAACATCACTGCCTATAAACACAGGTCACCATATCATGCATCTGGCAAAAAAAAAAGGGAACTGAAGAGAGACAGTAATGAACTCATGAGGTCTAAAAGTAAAGCCAAAAAAGCATCGAGAAATCATGCAGTGTAAAATTATAATGCAAACATGCAAGTTGCTTCTATTCATAGTCAAAGCCAGCAAGCACGACATTGTAACCTCAGAATTTTTAGCCTGTGCCCATCCTTCATAAACCGAAGAAAAGCTAAGGAATCAACTTTGTTTATAAACAGAAGGAAACAAAATTATTACTTGCACTTCTCTTCTAAAATATCCATAGTAAAAATGACAGGTTGCAGAGTTCAAAAGATTTTAGTCTTTTAAATGGCTTTAAAAAGGTAGGAAACATATCTGAATATAAATCATGGTTTATATACTACTTACAAAGAAAGATACAATACTAGAATTCAGTGCCAGTAGTTTACAAATATACATACCAACAGAGGAAAGATATGTAAAGACTTAGAAAGCCACATGCATCTTTTCTAATTCAAGATTAGGCAGGCATCTTCCCCAGCATGCAGGAGTACGCTGAGACAGAGGACAGGTATGCTGTAGGAAAATAAAGTTTTCTTGAAGTGCTACCTAGAACAAACAGTTAACACTAGTATTAGGTTTAAAGAATACACTTCTATTTGTGTCAGTGTTTTTCCTTGTTGCTATGAGACTTATTTATTAAACATTATGCTCAAGGGGAAAAATTTATTCCTAGTAGACTTCACCGGCTACAATGGACATCAAAGACAAAACTGGTTCATGGAATTCTGACACAATACCATTACCAAACAATTACTACAGAGCAGGAGCTACATTTTCACTGGAACTACTACATCCAAGTCAGAGCTGAATTTAAGTTATCCACAATTAAGAGTGCTGAAACACTGCATAAAACTCTGCCCAGAGTTGTTTGGTTTTCTCTAAAGTAGACTGCACACTTAAGCATCATAAATTTAAATCAGATTTCATGCATCGTAGTGTAGCAATTATTATGTAATGTGATGGTATCATCCATTAACTATCCAGAATGTAAGCAGTCTTTTAAACAAATGATTTCTACTTAGATTAATTCTGTGGCATGCACTGGAATACATTCCATTTTGCTCAGAAGATGCAGAATTTCATTAAAAGGCTAAGCAGGTAGGAGTTAAATAATAGAAACTAAACATGAATAGAATCATAGAATCATAGAATCGT